CTACCCGCAGAACCCCCCGTCCAGGTCCAGGGAGGGTGTACGGGGAGGGGTAAACACGTCCGCGAAGGGGAAGAAGGAGGGGTGGAAGAGGAAACGCCCTCAACCACCTACGCCATGGAGGGCTGGTGGGACTTGTCTACCTGAATGCGTCGATGGCCTGTTGGCGGCAGGTCATGGGTGTGCTGGTCCCTGGTTTCCTCGACGACATCAGGTTCTTATCGAGCTCCACTACGCATCCAAACATGTCATGAAAGCCCATCGGGAGCAGGGGAGGGACGTCCGACCGAAGAACGTCTACCTCTACAACCCCCAGTTTTTTCTTTTATGCCGATGGGAACTAACGCGGTGTTTTCTGCGGTCACGCTTCCCCCAACCCCACGGGTTTTGGGGTTCCTGGGAGGGACCAAAGGAATCGCAAAACCGTTTGAAATTCAGTGTTCTACAAGACTCGAGGGCAGGAGCGCCTATCAGGCCTTGTCCTGCCGCGGCGTCCACCACCATGGCCCCCAGGTCGACAGTCAGAAACGTGAGGACCTGGAACTCGTGCGGCGCCTCGGCCGGCGCCAGAATCTCCGAGTCTGCGACAGCGGAGGGCACGTCCGTCAAGTTCACGTACATGGAACCAGCTGCTCCGCCGACGGCAGTGCAGAAGCCAGTCATCGGAGGAGAGGCGCCCTACTCACGCTCTGGACCAGTGGCCCTTCTTGTGGCAGCGCGAGCTCCGTCAGAGGCAGACGACCTTTCCGAGGTCGGGAGCGCCCATCTGCTACTGGATGTCCCAGTCGTTTCCGTCGGTGCGTGCCGTTCCCGTGTGCCTTGCCGTCTCGGCCGCCTGTTCCAGAGTTCCTCTCGTAGAGTTGCTGGTCGATCATCAGCTGCCCTTTGAGGTTTCGGATATGCTTCCACGTCTTGCGCCTTTCACCGTTGATGGCCGCCAATGGGGCCGGAGCGTCGTCCTCTCCAAGGTTCGCTGCGTCGATTGTGGCGAAGATCTAAGCCTCCTCTTGGGAATCCATGGAGGAAGTGTCCGAGTGGTCAAAATGAGTATGTGTCGCCGTCGACCTGCAGCCCTGGGGGAGGGGGGGCTTGCTCGTCTTGCCTAGCGGCTGCCATGCCACATAGCACCGTAGGACTTGCCCTACCACAGATGCTCCTTGTGAGAGATGTCCATCTCTCGGATGGCCTTCAGGGCGCCAGAGTATTCCTGCGAGTCTCGCATCAGGACCTTGATGAGTTGCGAGGACTTCTCGTCGAGCGAAACACCCTTCTCGAGGAAAACCAGCGATAAGTTTGTCGGTGAGCGATGAGGCCTGAGCCGATGCCCTGTCGCGAAGGTGGGTTCGTCGCGAGCTGCGTACTCAGTGATATTTTTCTGTATACTCCCTCGTGTCGCTGCAGATGGCTTGGGGCTCTTAGTTCTGGCGGCCGACATGGGATAGTCGTCTAGGTTTATGTCGCCCTGGGCATGTGAACCAGTGACCAGGCGCGGGATATTGAAAGTATGCTAGAATTCGGAACAAGAACATCAAAGCAACGCGGAAATACGAGTGTGAGACAGAGGAACATGGAGGTATGAAACCACGATTTAGAAAATTATACACCCACTATCCGAACCTGTTCAACCTGTTGCCAGCATTTGAATGTTTCAACTTCCCAAGCGAGTGAATTTTTATACAACAGCAAACTCTTTAGAAGTTCCAAATCAGGGCGCGCTGTTGTTCACAATATTTTCCAGACTGCCAGAAACGTGCGTACTTTTCAAATGTTTTAAATCCCTCAGTCCACGCGTACGTTTTCAATTTGTGTATCAAGCTTGTTCCAGCTTGTTTCGAAATTTGTCAAGCTTCAAAATCTGGGCGTACCTGTTTCCCAAATGTGTCTTTCAAACTTTCCAAACTTCGATTTCTGGGCAAACTTTTCAGAGTTCCAAATCTGGGCGAACCCACACTCATATTTCGCCCGCTTCGCGATTTCACGCTTGTCATACTTCTATTAATGTTTGAAAACCGCAGTTTTGAACAGGTTGCCTGCTCCAGGGCGACATAAGTCTAGGTTACGCACTCGCGTAGACATACATATTTCGAAGGCAATCGTTTCCAGACTGGTGCTTGGCCATGAGTCACATGAAGGTCAGGTACATGTGACCGTATTGCTGGAAGAAAAGGTTTTAGGCCGCGGGGAACTTGAGGTGAAGGAGTCCGGCGGATGTCCTGACGATTCCGATTACCGATGTTTGCATCGGAGATGGTCAAGAAGTTTGCGAGTGTGGAAGCAATACTCGGAGAAACGCGCGAACGCGTGCGATTGGAGGAATGGGCGTTCCGAATTCAGTGAGACGCAACACCGGCGGGCCTGAGGCTCGTTGTCGCGTGTCAGACTAGGTCTGAGGGGGCGCGCCCTCCGTCCCTGGAAGCCCTCGCAATCCCTCTTGCTTACCTCTCTTTTCCGTCCACCCCCCGCGTCCCCCTCGTCTTTTTCCCCCTGCCATCATCCCTTCCCCTCCCCCGTCGCTTCCACACCCCCTCACCCTCCCTCCACAGTGAACCATGATGTGTGTTACGTCCCTGTGTCCCCCGACTCTGTCCGGAAGATCGCCGATTCTCTCCGCGCTGTTTTTTCTTACACAGCATTCCAAACCTTGACATTTCGTTTTTCAATCCGACCGTTGTCAGTGACCAAAGTGGGTGGGGCTCCCGCTGCAGCGTGGGCCTCTGTGGTTGCAATGCCCATTTTACCCTCTCCTCCTCCTGCGCCTCTCTCTGAACTCCCTCGTTCGCCGCCATATCGCGTCACGAGGGCCCTTGGCCTATCATGGCGCGCCGGTGACGGCGGACGCGCCTCAGCCTCCATAGAAGGTAAGAGAACGTGCTCTCTTCAAGCACGGGTCCACCCTAATTGTACCTCGTGTATCTCTGTATCCTTACATACTCCTGTACAGTCCACAGTGGTGCCAGCCCGTCGACAACAGAGAAGGACATACTAGAGCATAACATGAACTATTGCTACTTCGTGGAACACGCTTGAACCGTTTTTGGATACAGAAGCGGCAGCAGTGCACTGAAGGAGAGGAATACCACGACAGAACTGGACATAGCAAAACATATGAACATATCAGATCATACTTTACTTTATTGAGCTGAGCCAGCAACACCATTACGGAACATATCATGTTATAACATATGATGGGAAAAACATCGTGTTCTAACATGGTGCCAAAGGGTAGATTATAGCGTAATTTACCAAAACACATTGAGGCATAATCGCGCATGACTGCATGTGTTCACGAATAAGGTAACGGAAGGGCCGAGGGACAGCGTAACATAATACACCGTACGTACATTGTGGTCAGCGTCGCCACAGGAATCAAGAGTCACAACAATGAGCGATACGGCGATGTCTCTAGCGTGACAGGCGTCACGACGTCACGCCGGCCCGTCGATATCACAGCATCAGGGAACACAACATCAAATTCTTTACGCTTCGCGTATCCCCACCAGCCCATCTCAAAACAGCAACTCTTGCGAAGCATGCCGACAGTCGTGTTTTTCAGGCGTGTTTGCGCCTGCCCCCGCATATCTCCCCTGTTCCTCCTTCCTCCCGCCTCCTTGTACATCCTCCTTGTGGTGGGAGCGGGAGAAGGACGAGGCGGAGGAGGAGGGAGAGAAAGCGCTCCTCGTGGTTTGAGTCGTTTGGGGTTTCTCGTCCTGGTGTGAGTCGTTCGGGCCCTGCTTCCTGGTGTGAGTCGTTCGGGCTCTTCGTGGTGTGAGTCGTTCGGGCCCCTCCTCCTGGTGTGAGTCGATCGGGCTCCTCGTGGTGTGAGTCGTTCGGGGCCCTCGTCGTGGTGTGAGTCGTTCGGGCTCCTCGTTGTGTGAGTCGATCAGGCGCCTCGTCCTGGTGTGAGTCGTTCGGGCCCCTCCTTCTGGTGTGAGTCGTTCGGGCTCTTGGTGGTGTGAGTCGTTCGGGCCTCTTGGAGGCCTTTTGGGGCGTCTTGGGGGCCTCTTGGCGGCCCCAGGGGCTTCTAGGAGCGTCTTGGGTGCCTTGGGGGAGCCTCTTCGGGCCTCTTGGGAGCCTCTTGGAGGCCGTTTGGGGCGTCTTGGGGGCCTCTTGGCGGCCCCAGGGGCTTCCAGGAGCGTCTTGGGTGCCTCGGGGGAGCCTCTTGGGGCCTCTTGGGGGCCTCTTGGGGGCATCTTGGGGGCCTCTTGGAGGCCTCTTGGGGGCTCTTGGAGGCCTCTTGGAGGCCTCTTGGAGGGGTCTGGGAGGAATCTTGGGGCCATCTGTCGGGCGATCGATCACAGATGGGGGGAGCACTTTTCTCCCCCCCCCCTCGGAGCCAGAATCCTCGTGAGGGGTGTCGAATTTTAGCCCTCCCAGGAGTCGAAAAAGACCCCTCCGGCGACCCGCGGAGGGACCTCTCCAGGCCCAGGGGGAGGGGGGAGGGGGAGGGGTAAACCCCTCCCCGAAGGGGAAGAAGGGGGGTTGAGAACAGAGAGAGAGCTCGCTAAACCACTCATGCCCAAAGGGCTGGTGGGATTACAACATCAAATTCTACATCGGGGCATAATCCTACCAAGCACACGCACACACTTCAGCACAACGTCGCGTATACAGTAACCACAACTCGACGGTGTTGCCCCGGCGTCACGAAGTCACGCCGACCCGTCGAGAACATAAACAGACACATGCTATAAAGTTTCTCCATAAAATATTGTCCAACGCTTTTGAATACAGCAACGCTGGGCTTTGCGCACATCCTTCAGTAGGCGCGCGCACCGTTTGGACCGAACGCCGAAGGTTCCGGTTGGGATCGTTAGAAACACAGTTTTTTTGTTGAGTTCCAGGTCGGCTATGACACGCGTCCGCGGATAGAGACAACCATTTGCGCACTGGCACAGGATGGGAGGGAAGGACAGGATGTCAGATGTGGCGTGAGCGCACAGAGCTTGCCCGTCCCACTCTCCACCCTCCCCGGTTCCGCCCTCTCCCGTCCCCCTTCTGGGCAGGAGGGCCCAGCTGGTCTCAGCGTGGGGGTGATCCTGCAGAAGATCAGGGCGCTTGAGATGCAGCTGGCGCAGGCGCAGACCGAGCAGGCGCGGCGGGCCTCGGGCCTGCACCGCCGCTTCTCCTCGCGAATGGCACATTTGAGAAGGTGCGCGTGCATGGCCCGAGCTTCGAGCGCCTGCAAGGAGGCGCATTTGCGACATCAGCTGTCCCCACGAATTCCTGGAGCGCTCTCGAGGATGAGAACGGCAGCCGTGATCAGGTGTGCGGCTGGGAGGGGTTGGGAAGCCGCTTGCCAACAAACCGAGACGCGCACCAGTACCTATTTGCATGCACTTGCCCGGTAATTCTGTGCATCCATTCGTTGCGGCAGGGTTACCGTTCCTGGGATTTCGTCTCTCGCCCCCTCTCCCAGGAATGCAACGCTGAGAAGGGGGCCAGCGACCGTCCGAAGTTGCCGATCTTGACGCGCATGGCCAGCAACACCAAGGTGGGGCAGCTCATCCAGAAGTTCGAGGGCCAGTTGCACCAGAAATCAGCCTACCAGGAGCCAGGGATCTTATTATCATCGCGCCATCAGCGCCTCCTCACTTGCTTTTTGGCTGACAGCGTGTTTACCCAACTTTGTTACAGTCGGCCCGAGGTATAAGATCGAGTTCGGTTCGGGGAGGGTGCCCTAATGTTCTTCGTGTTCCTTTGATATTATTGTGCATCTTGAGGGAGGGTGCCTTCGAATATTCTTCAGGTTGTCTGGCAGAGGGTCTCATGCTCTTGAAGGAAGTTTTTCAGTCATAGGTCCGGTTGTATCCACAAGGCTTTCGTGAAATCCTTCATCGTGCCGCCCATGCACAGACCAGAAACCACCAGTCGGCACGAACACAACCTCCTACATTCCTCTATCCCTGCTTGCTTACCTGCATACCTCGGTTCCCCTTCCCCTCCCCTGATCCGGAAAAAATGAGCACATCAGAAAGCGGCGAAGATTGAGAACATCCTTGGTGATTTCAAGGGGCTGAGAACGATTGCGAACGCAGGGGCAGCCAAGAAAAAAGAGAACATCGCCAAGGTGGTAGATTCTTCTGGAAACGTCAAGGAGTCGAAAGAGGACGTGGCTGAAGTTTTTGCGTTTTTCTACGAGACACTTTACACGGGGGCTGCGGATCAGCTGCACCATGGCCAGACACCAGGCGAGACTGCACTGGATTTCACGATGCCTGAGCTGACGGCTGCCATCCGGTCCATGAAAAACTGCAAGTGCAAGGACTCGTCCAGCATCGTTGCGGAGATGCTGAAGAACAGCAGCCGGAGTCTGCGGGAAAGCCTTCTCTCACTTTTTAATTCAGTATTGCCGCCAGACAAGGAACCACCGGAATCGTGGACACGCACGAAGATGGTCGTTCTGTTCAAGAAAGGAGGCCCAACGCTCCCGAACAATTGCAGACCTATTACGATTCTTCCAATATTGTACAAACTCTTCGCTTGCATGATCTGCAATCGCCTCCAGGATGTTGTTATTGCGCACCAAGCTCAGGATCAAGCGGCCTACCGCCCAGGATTCTCTACGGAAGATTATCTTCTCGCTTTAACGCTGGTTATTAAGAAGTGCGGCGAGTGGAATCAGGATTTGTGGCTTGGGTTCGTCGACTTCGAGAAGGCTTTTGACACCGTGGAGCACGAAGCGTTGTGGGTTGTCCTGCGCGAGTTTGGTATCGAGGAATCCTACATTAGGCTGCTTCGGAAACTGTACGCCGATCAGACTGCCACTGTTGCTGCTGGGGCGGAGTCTCGCTCTTTCTGCTTGACCAGGGGAGTAAAGAGGGGGACCCGATCGGCGCATTTCTATTTATTGTAGTTATGGAGTCCTGCTTCAGAGCGCTGAGGACTAAGTGGCACGGGCTCAACCGGAGACGCATCGGACAATTTTTTGGTTTCGTCATCGACGACCAGGAGATGCCGTTGACGAGCCTCAGATTCGCAGACGACGTGCCGCTGTTTGCGCAAAGCAAACAGGACGTTGCGAGGATGTTGTCCCGCCTCCAGACGAACGCTGCCAGATATGGGCCCCGCGCCCACCTCGGCAAGACGAAGATCCTGACAAACCGCCCGGGCCACGCGGCAGCTCTGTGCTTATTGGTGGAATTCCAGGTAGAGATCATTCCGTCGGGCGGGTCCGAGAAGTATCTGGGCCGAACCATCAAGCTGGAGGATTACCATGGAGCAGAAATTTCGAATCGCATGTCAACTGCATGGAGAGCGTTTGCCAAGTTCCGCCATGCTCAGTGCTCAAGGAGGTACCCATGATCTGCGAGACTGACGCTACTTGATTCAGTCGTGACTTCGACCGCCTCATATGGAAGCTCGTGCTGGACGATGAACGTTGGGTATCGTCGTATTCTGCGAGGAACATGGCGCAATATGCCCAGGAAAATATTCCAGATCCCGCGCAGGAGCGAGGAGGGGTGGGTTGACTACACATCGAGGAATGGAAGACTGGGTTGCGACACAGACGAGCAGGACATTGAGATTCGCCTTCAACGCAGACTCCTACACGCTGGGAAAATCGCGCACTGCACCCCGTGGTGCAGGACATGGGCGCGCAGGCGCCCAGGGGGGCCGTGCAAGCGTTGGGCGGGCGACCTTTGACAATCCAGTCGCTGGTCTCTGATCATACAAGGATCTCACTCGTATTGCCGCAAACAAGCAACATGGCAAAGCCAAGATTGCAGCAAGTCTTCCGTTAGTGCCACTTGTGCGCCCAGCCAGCTGGTCTCGTGTGTCCCTTCTTCCTGCCATGTCCTGTCTCTGGGGTTTCGGCTCCTCCTCCCTCCTCCCCCTCTCCGTGTCCTCCCCCCCCTTGCCCTTGTGTTTCCTTGCCCTTGTGTCTTGTGTGCCCTCCCTCCGTCTCCTCGCTTGGCTTCCCTTCCCTTCCCCGTCTCCTCGTCTGTCCGTCCGTCGGCCTGGTCTGTCGTTCCCTGTCGCCCCTCCTCGCCCCCCCCCCTCTCGCTCCTCGGCTCCTCGCTTTCCCGTCGGCCCCTGTTCCTCGCCTTGCCCGCGTTCTCCTTGTCGGCCTGTCGTGTTATCCGAATCAGAGAACGTTGCATTTTCCACGTGTGTTCACGCCCGCGCGCCGCCTGGTGCATGGCTCGTCTGATTGCCAGTCTCGCTCGGTCTGCCCAGGCGCGCTTCCGCGTGCCGTCAGGGGCCCGGCCCGCCGCGGCCGGTCAGCAGACCGCTTCTTCTTCTTCTTCTCTCCAGATTTGTTTCTCCCGCTTCCTCGTATCACCCAGAGACCTAAAGCAGCATGCGGAGATGGGGCAGTTGAAAAGAGCAGCCCACTTGCTCGTACATGCGGTCTATTCGCCCAGACATGTGTCCATCACCATCCAGAGACGCCGCTTCGAGGACTTTCTTCAATTGAAGTCGTGCTGTCGGCCTGACCTAGACTCGGCTCTCTCCTCCCTTGTCGACCGCAGGGCGCGGTGGTGGCGCTGGCTCTGGATCCGCGCCGTTCGTGGCAGGCAAGCGGGCAGCGAGTTCAGCTCGATCTCTGGCCGTCTGGGTCAACTGCAGGATGTACTTCACAGCGGCCAAGAAGAGGCTAGCACTCTCGTGCTGCCGGGGCGCCGTCGCCACAGGCAGGCAGGGCTCCCATCCGTGAAGCTGACCGTGTGAGATGCAGCTATCGAGTGCCAGGGCTGATCGGGCTGACGCTTGGTTGAACTGGCATATCGGTTTCTGACCAGCAAAGTGTTGGTTGATTGATTGATTGTTTGATTGGCCACATCGAGATGACATCTCTCTTGCCGCGCTACCGAAGCAATTGCACTTGGAACCTGGGCCACCACGTCATCGCAGCATTGCACAGGCCCTCAGGCCTCTGAGAAAGCAACGCCGTGACCGCCCATGAGCAACGCCGCCGTTCCCCATAAGGGGGGGGGGGGGGGGGCGGGGGGGGCAAGCTCAGCGGTGGCACCGCCGCGGCGTTTGTCTCCAGGTGATGGCTTTCTTGCACCGCGTGATCACGGCTCGTGCGCCATAACGTCAGCTTCGCCGCGGCTCGAGCCTCCCGAGCCCGAGCCTTCCGGGATGTCGCTCTACTCGACCTTGATGTCGACTCGCGCCAGTTGGTTCTAGCCGAGGTTGCTAGCAGTCTGATTCGTGAGGACCTGTTGTTCGTTTAGCTAGAGGAGACAGAGCTTCCCAGCCTCCAGGCCTCTTTCACTTCCTTTGTGTCATCCTCCTCCCTTTCCTTCCCTTGGGGCCAATGTCGTTTCTTGCGCTTGCAAATGGTTCCTCATCCGTCCTGAACGCACCCTAACTTTCTCCCTGGGCCGCGCGTGTCGAGCGTCTCAGTGGGCGCCGCCGTCGTGGCGCGCTGCAGCCGCGCGGTCCTACGCGGTGGGGGGCCGACGTCCGCGTGGACAGCGCTGACAACAACGGATGTGTAGGCATATGATGCGGAGAATATATAAAGCATTACTTTTATGGGTGTCAACCTTGTCTTCTTGCTCTCGGTCGGGGTCTCGGCTGACTTGTCTCGGGCGATCCGCGGTCGCCCATGGCCTCGTTGGAGGAACCGTGGAGTCATTGAGCGGAGTTGTGGTATTATACCACTTCCGCCGCAAGGCTCGCGTCGCCGCGCACATCATTTACAGGCGTTACGCATGAAATTGCACGTCGCGCGCGGCTCAGCTCTGGAATCATTTAGCCGTTCCTACGGTAGTTATGTTCGCCGTGGACTCTTCCTAGGAGACGCTTGGCTTCCTCTCCCGCCTTCTTCCTCCGCATCATCCGTAGCCATTTTGGATCCGCGTGTCTGCACCTGAGGGGTTCCGCGCCCTCAACCTGTTCAGGGGTCCTCCAGCAGGAGGGTTCGCGAGCCCCACCATGGCCCCGCCCCCGATGTGCTAAGCGGGCCCAAGACCCCCTTTCTGGTCCTGTTTCTGCGGCGCCGGCAAGAGCCAGGCAAGCCACGTGCGATGCCGATGTGGGCGCAATGCCCGCGGCCGCATCATCGCAGCCGCCATTGTGGCCTGCGCCGAGGCAGAACACGAGGGGCAGCCAGCGGCTGGAGGACGCCGTCGGGCCACTCCAGCACCGTGGGTTGACAAGCGGGATGACAACGTCGCTCTCCGAAAGTAATTGGTGCAGCTCGCCAGCGTCACTGCGAAGGGCAATCCGATGGAGGCTGAAGGCCTTGCAGGCCAGAAAGATGAAGTGTTCCGTTCGGAGATCATCGCGGCAATCCAGCAGTATGTGAAGGCCATCAAAGAAACCTTGCTTGCCCATGTCAGGCAGGCGCACATGCTCGAATTGTGATCATTGCGTGCGCAGTTTGACCCTCCAAACCCCTGAAGCTGCCCACCGTCGGACACAGGGCAAGCTCAATAATGCACAGTCGCAGCTCATCAGGTTACAGAGTGAGACAGAAGATGGCGAAGCAGCTGTCTGACCTCCAGGCGTCGTTGTATAACAAGAAGGCTGCGATCGCTACCAAGAAGGTGGAGATTGACACCCTACAAGAAGGCGTTCGCGGAGACAGCCAAGGACGTTGCGCCCGAGCGCGTTGGCCCCCCTGCCGGGCTTCATGTTCGCCAAGGAGGAGCTGCCCGAGGAGCTCCACGCCGTCGTCGCCGCCCTTGGCGCTGAGACCTTCGATGCATTGTTCAACGGCCTCGAGGGCCAGGCGCGCGTGGCAGCCGCCTTCGCGCCCGATCCCATGCAGGAAAAGGAGGAGGAGCCATCCGACATGGGCGCTGATGGCGTCGGTGGCACTGCTACTCCTGACGACGGGGCAGGCGGAGAGCAAGGCGTCAAGCGCGACCGCGACTTTACGCCCGAAGAGCACCAGGAGCTCTTCGCACTGGCCTCGTGGAGGTGGAGCAGCCCCAGGAGCAGGACTTGGCCGGTGCGTCCAGCAGTTTGCTGTTTGCTGGGAAGCTCCAGTTCCACTGTGACAAGCGACAGGAAGTTTTGCCCGCTTGTTCTTGTCAGTTGTATTCTAGTGCGCCGTGGTCGGGCGCGGCCGCCGCCTGATCCTGATCCGCGAAGCCAGTTTTTCATCGAATCCGTCAGCGCCAACCGTGGCACCTGACCGGACAAGAACGGGAAGCGCCGCTTTAGTCCACCAGGCATGTGGAATATGCTCTGTTGTTGTTACGCCGCGAAGTTATGCCGTGGCGCGCCTGTCGGCGTGCGTGCGGGGTGTTTTTTGCTGTGCTCTTGTGTGTTCTGCCGTGCTCCTGTTCTGCCGTGCTTGTGTTCTGCCGTGCCTCTGTGTGCTCTGTGTGTTCTGCAGTGCTCTTGTATTCTGCCGCGCGGATCGTCGCGGCGGTCGTTTTGGTGGAGCTTCTGGGCGCGCGCGGCAGAAAAAGACCAGAAGCGCGGCATAATAGGCCCGAATAGCGAAGGAGCACGGCAGAAAAAAGACCAGGAGCGCAGCAGAATAGACCCCAAGAGCAAAGGAGTACGGCATAATAAACCCCAACAGCGAAGGAGCACGGCGGAAATTACCAGGAACGCGGCAGAATATACCCCAATAGCAAAAGAGCACGGCAGAATAGACCCCACAAGCAAAGGAGCAGGCAGGACAAGTTCAGGATCACGGCAGAATAGGCCCCAAGAGCTAAGGGGCACGGAAGAAAAATACATCTGGACGACCCCATGAGTTGTGGCATCACTGGCAAGAGCATCTTCTGCGCGATCCTGGGGGTCCTCGGGGGCTCGTGCGACCTTGCTTCGACCAACAGCGTCGACGGGATCACCAGCTGTACGAACAGTTTTTGGGTAGTCTTTGGGATGCTGGCATGATTCGTTTTCGTAGCCGCAAGAAGCACACTATCGGTTCGTTTTTTCGTTCCCAAGGGCGCGGGCCGCCTGCGGTTGATCTTGGATACGCGTTTGATTTATCAGGAATTCACTGGGTCTGACACCGTCAACCTCCCGAGTGCAGGGTGCTGGCGGGGTCTTCGCATTCAGCCCGCGGACCAGCTGCGCCTCGCGCAGATGGACGTCGAGGCCGCCTTCTATCGCATCCAGTGCCCGCCGGGGCTGGAGGAGATGATGATCTTGCCCCGCATCCGCCGCCAGGACCTGCTCGCCGCGAGGCCCGACATCGACCTCGACGGCGTGGGGGGCAAGGTCCTGGCACCCCGACTGTTGGTAGCCCCGATGGGCTGGAGCTGGAGCCTGTGCTTCTGCGAGTCGCTCGTGGAGGCCCATGTGGCTCAGGCAGGCTTCGGCACGGACAGGCAGATCGCCGACGGCAAGGTGATCCCCGACCTGTCCTCCGACGCGGCCGCCGCCTCCCACGTGGACGGGGTCGCCGCGGTGGGGAGCTGCCGCTCGCAGAATGTAGAGAAACAGCTCATGGATGATCACTTGGTCTGCAAAGGGATCGAGTCCCCAAAGGCCTCCCATAAGTTCACGGGGCTCACCTTCGATCAGGAGGCGGCCGCCGTCAGCCTCAGCCCCTCGCGTCTGTGGAGATTGCGGCTAGGCCTGCGCGAGCTGGCCGACCGCGGGTTCTGCAGCGGGGATGAGATGTTGCAAGTGTTGGGCCATTGCACGTGGACAGCCCTTTTGAGAAGAGGGTTGCTGTCAATTTTCTCCATGAGCTATAAGTTCGCCGATTGGGCAGGCCCTCGCCGTCGACGCCTATGGAAGGGCGTAGCCGCAGAGCTATGGGCGGCTTCAGCGCTCATCGCGTTCGCCTTCTGCGATGCGAAGCGGGTCGTCGACCCCGGAGTGCTGGTCTCGGACGCATCCACTGGTGAAGGTGCGGGGCGCGCCCCTGGCTTCGGCGGCTACGGTGTCGCGGAGAAGCGCTGGGGCGTGGAGAATGTCTGGGCCACCGTGGCCCGCTGTGAGCGCTGGAGGTGCGCCGCCGAGGGCGCTGTCCAGGCACGCGGCCTCGCGCTGGGCCTGGGGGCCGAGGCTTGCAAGGCACGGCGGCGCCGCCGAGGGCCCCGCGCTGCGGGCTCGTCGGGGGGCGCCGACTTCCTGCAGGTGGACCCCGACTTCTCGACCCGTGATGGGTGGAATTATTTGTTTTTTTTTCTGCCGATGGCGACGCGGAGAGAGCGCTCTCCGCCTTGAGGGGCGGGCTCCCGTGCTTGCTGTACGACGCCGTCTGAGAGAGCGCGCCGCCTGTGGCTCTCGATTCTTGATCTTGTGCGACAACGTGAGCGTAACCTCGGGAGTTGAGAAGGGTCGATCATCGTCTAACCTCATTACTCAGACCGTCCGTGAGATCACCGCTCGCTCCATCTTTTTCAACGTGGCCATCTCGGTTCGGTGGATAGCCTCAGAGCACGACGCTGCGGACAAGGTCTCTCGTACCATCGGGCGTGCCCCTCGGGGCCCGCGGTCAGACCCCCGCCATGCTCATGCGGGCGATGGCGGCGAGCAGCAGCGGATCGTCGAGCGCGCCTGGGAGCGAGAGCTCGAAGAGGCCGCCCTTGCGCGCGCCGCTGGCCTCGGCGGCGTCGGCCTTGGCCCGGAGCTCGGCGAGGCCGACCAGGTGCCAGAGGGCGGCGGGGCCACTGCCCATGCCGAGCCGACTTCGCGCAGCCTCGGGGCGCCCTATGCCGACGCGGACTCCTCCAGCTCCTCGGACCTCTCGGCTGCCGAAACAGGGGGTGGGGAGCCACCTGAAAGCTACTCTGCTTTAGGCGAGGAGGGCGGAGGGCCGCCAGAGGCGTCGCGGCTCCCTGTCAGCGGGCGCCTTGAATAGGCCCACCCTCTTGCAGAGGTGCAAGGTGCAGGAGCACGCCCAGCAGGTGTTCGACCGCGAGTTCGACGCGCTCGCGCAGTGGAGCGGGCGGAACGACCTCCCCAGCTTGGGCGCGCTCGAGCTGGACATGCTGGTGGCGCGGTGCCTGGATCATCTGTACTGGAGCGGGTTCACCAGCGCCAAGGGCAGCCGCGTGCCGGCAGCCCTCCACCACCGACGCCCCGGCCTGGGGGAGGCCTCTTCGGGGGGCCTCCCAGGCTCGAGGGCTGCGCTGGCGGGCTTCCGCCGCCGCAGTCACGCGGCCTCGCGGCTGCCCCTGGCGAAGCCGTGGATGCTCGGGATCCCCGGCGTCAGCTTGACAGAGGGCGACACCGAGTTCGCGGTCGCCCTATTTCTGGCGTGGGGCGGGCTCCTCAGGCTGCCGGGGGACCTGACCTCCACGGCCGCGGAGGACTGGGTTGCGGGGCCCGGGTGCCAGAGGCCGCGCCGTGCCAGATGAGACATGGCGCCGCGAGCCATGCGAGCGCCATCGACCACATGCCGCAGTCGGTGCTCCAGGAGCGGATGCGGCACGGCTCCGCCCCGAGCACCTTGGGGCGCAGGAAGCGCGTGCGTTACTTCAGAGAACTCGAGAAGGCCCCCAGCGCCATCCAGCAGTGGACCAACCGCATCGAGGGCCGCCCCGGCCCCCTGCTGCTGGGAAAGGGGCGGCCCCCTGCGCCGCCGTTCAAGATTCAGAAGTGAGTGAGGAGGGTAGGATGTGATTTGCTGGGGATTTTTTTCCCCCAACGGGGGCCCTCAGGTTCGGCTCTGTTTAAGGCGCAACTGGTTTCTAGAAGCTGGGTTTGGGACGGGGTCTATTGGGACTTGTTCGGTGCCGTCTGGGTGAAAGGGGGCTTTTGCGATTTCACACTTGCCAGACGGAGATTGCCCGGCTGGATCTCCTCGCTGTGCATTCGGGGGGCCTGCTGTATTCTGCCCCGCCGAACTCGACATTTCCATTTCTGCAACGTGGTCCGCATCGCCTTGAGTGCGTCGCAGGTTGGTTGCCCTGTCGCGCTCATTGGCCCCCGCCCTAAGTGCGAAGGGGCGCGGCAGAGACGGGCCAGGAGCACAGCAGAATACGATTCAAAAGCCAAGGAGCACGGCAGCAAATGACCAGAATGAGCCCCAAGAGCGAAGGAGCACGGCATAATAAAACAAAATGAGCACGGTAGCATAGAATCCAAGAGCTAAGAAGCACGGCAGAATAGGCCCCAAGAGCGAAGGAGCAAACCAGAAGAAGACCAGGAACATGGCAGAAAGACTAGATAACTCGTCATTTTCGGCAGATTCCAGGGCGCTGTTGGAGCCATCTTGGGTTCTTTTGGGCGCCCTCATCTCTTCGTCTTGAAGCACTTCGAGAAACATGTGGAGGCGATGTTGCGAACATCTCATGTGTTGAGGATGTCCACGGCGAAATGATCAGTTTCTGCTGTGTTCCTTTTTTCGATCTGCCGCGCCCCTCCCGATGTCCCGAGGATGTCCCGAGCGAGAGCGCAATGTTTTATGAGAAGTGGTAACGCAGCTTTTCTAACGAACCATTTGTTCGAGGATGTCCCGGGCGAAGCGCTAATTTTCATGCGCGACAAAATCCTTGACGTTGTTCGACGTCCCGATGTTCTGCGGATGTCTCGAACGAGCATGTCACTTGTTTACAGAAAACGTCTTGAACGATAGCCTCCAACACCTCCATATTCGGAGGATGTCTCGAGCGATATCGCTGCCCGTGGGAATCCGCCAACGAAAAATTCGGTGCAGCGCCGAACCCCATATAGTAAGATATCTGAATTTGAAAATATGATGCAGACTCAGCCAGAACGCCCACCAAGCATGTAACATGAAATTTGCAGTGCTCCTGCGTGTTCTGCCGTGCTTCTGCATGGTCTGTCGTGTTCCTGCGTGTTCTGCCGTGCTGCTGTGTATTTTGCCGTGCTCTTGTGTGTTCTGCCATGTCCCTGCTCCTTCTGCCGTGCTCCTGCGTGTTCTGCCGTGTTCCTGTGTGTTCTGCCGTGCCCCTGTGTGTTTTATCATGTGCCTGCTTGTTTTGCCATGCTCCTGCGTGTGCTGTCGTGCTCATGTGTGGTCTGCCGTGTTCCTGTGTGCTCTGCCTGTGTTGCCGTGCTCCTGCGTGTTCTGCCGTGCCCCTCTATGTTCGGCAGAATCAACCCCAAGGGCTAAAGAGCACGGCAGAGAAGGACCAGGAATACGGAACCCAAGAGCGGACCATGGCAGAAGAAGACGAAGAGCACGGCATAATAGCCCCAAGAGCGAAGGGGCACGGCAGAATAGGCCCCAGGAGCGAAGGAGCACGCTAGAGAGAACAAACAACAACAAAAAAAACAGAGCACGGCATCATATACCATCTAGGACGGTCTTCAGGGCTTTATTCCAACTCATTCCTTGAGAAGAGTCGCTTCGTCCACCGAGCATGTGAAACGAAATGTGCAATGTCCTGCCGTGCTCTTGCGTGGTCTGCCGTGTTCCTGTGTGTCATGTCGTGCTCCTGTGCATTATGCCGCGCTCTTGTGTGTTCTGCCATGCTCCTACTTGTTCTGCCATGCTCCTGCGCGTGCTGCCGTGCTCCTGTGTGTTTTGCCGTGTTCCTGTGTGTTCTGTCTGTTTTGCCGTGTTCTTGCGCGTTCTGCCGTGCCCCTCTATGTTCGGCAAAATCAATTCCAAGAGCTAAAGAGCACGGCAAAATGAACTAGGAATACGAACCTCAATCGCAAAGGGCCGCGGCAAAACAAGACAAAACGCACGGCAGAATAGACCCCGAGACCGAAGGGGCGCGGCATTCGGCCCCAGGAGCGAAAGAGCATGATATAACAAAGAACAGGAGCACGACAGAATAGACCCCAAGAGCTGGGGGGCACGGCAGAATAGGCGCCAGGAAAGAAGGAACATTGCAAAACGCGACCAGTGACCAGGAGCATGGCAGAATAGAGCAAGGAGCACGGCAAGATAGATGCAATAATGCGGCATAATACGCCCCAAGGAAGGAGTATGCAAGAGAAAGACAGGGAGCGCGGCGCAATAAACCCCGAAAGCGAAGGGGCACGGCATAATATGCCCCAAGAGCTCAGGAGCACGACAGAAAACGACCAGGAGCGCGGCATCATAAGCCCCAAGAGGAAAGGATTTACAGAAAATGTCCAGGACCATGGCAGAATAGGCCCGAAGAGCGAAGGAGCACGGCGCAAAAAAAAAAACAGGGAGCATTTCAGAATAGACCCCAGGAACGAAAGAGTACTGCATAATAGACGTCAAGAGCGAAGGAGCACGGCAGAACTGCTCATTCTCTGCGTTGCTTTTTTTTCGCCGGCCATGCTCCGCCCGTTTTTTTGTTGGATGTACGCAGCGAGGGCGCGATTTTTAACACGAGAGGTATTTAAAACGCCACTCCAAGATACCATTTTTGTTTGGATGTCTCAGGCGAGACGCTAGTTTTTGAACATCTGTCGAATTCGCGGGTTCCCATGTTGAAGGGACGTCTCAGGCGAAACGCTCATTTTTGATGAAACCGATGTTGTGAACATTTCATGTTTGTAAGGATGTCTCAGGCGAATTCGCAATTTTGGATCGTCTCGAGGGCGCTCCGGAGGGTCAAATTTGGGCTTGTGTTGGGCCTTAGGGGCCCTTCTTGATGCCTTGCAAAACCGTTGCAGTCCGATGTTGCACGCATTCATTTTTTTCGGGGTGTCCCTAGCGAAATCGTCGTTTTTAGATGATTGGCTTAAACCATCTAGAAGCTTTTTCAGGGGCGATCCCGAGACGATGTTTAAACAGCAGTTTTCAAAACAAAGTTTTTTATACAGAAAATATCCTTAGCGAAATCACTATTTCAGGCAACCGTGAGGACGCTATTGGAGCCATGTTGCGCGAAGCCAGTTTTTCATCGAATCCGTCAACGCCAACCGTGGCATCCGCACTTTGAAGGAGATGTTGCAGGCCTCCACAGCCGCGATTTTCGCGGCGCAGGAGGCTGGCTTGACGATGCTTATAATGTTGATTTCGCTGCCTGGGCAGGTCGTCGAGGCTGCAAGTGCTTAGCCAGCCCTGGCGCCAAGTCGACTGGCGCCGTGCTTGCCCAGGGCGCGGCGATTTTGGCTCGAGATCACGTCGGTGTTCGCGGACCTGATTGCGATGGCCCAATTGTCCATCCCAGGCGCGCCATGCATGCGTTTGCGAACTTTCCTGGGTGGCCTCAACCCCATGCTTGCGCTTTCTATTTGGTCGTCAACCATGGCGCTCGTGGAAATAATGCGCGCGTTTTGCTTCGGATCGGCGGGCGTGTCTCAGGTACCAGCGATATTGTATCATTGGCTGGCGATTGGGGTGCGACGCCGAGGGGTCCTTGACGGGCCGGGATTTCTACGCGAGGCCAACGTCGCGCTGGCGGCCCCGTCGCTGCCGACGCGCTTCGCGCCCGAGGCCAGTCGCACGGTCGATGTCTTTGCTGTCAACGTCGTGGCCAAGAGGTTGCTCGAGCCAGTGAATGTCGACGCAACGTGGGCGCTGCGAGCGCATCGATTGATTTTCTTTGGTTTGTCCATTGAGGGCTTGCGACAGCAGTGTTTGGTCTATTCAGTAGCCGAGAAGCTGGGCACGGAGTGTATCATAGGGCCAATCCGTGAAGGCCCTGACTGGCGACAACCATCTGGCCTGGCTGAGGTTGCCGCCCATGTTGGAGTGGGTCAGCCCATTCGTGAAGCTTGGTGCTTGCTCTCGCGCGCGCAGGGGCTTTGTTTGCGCGTGGGGCAGAGCGAGGGGTGCTGCAGGCCGACCGACGTCCAGCGTCGATGGGCCTGCTTCCACCCGACCCTCGATGTGACCAAGCAGTTCAAAATTATGGTGACATGCGCGAGCCCCCGCGTGACTTGGCAGCGCTTTGGTTTGATAATCGTGCCGGGCATGTTCGCGATACTTCGCGCTGGAACAAATGGTGCGAGGCGCTTCTATGCGCAATGCTACGACGCGGTGATCGCGGGCCTCTACGTCGCCTCCTGCGCGGCTGGTTTCCAGGATGCGGCGTTGAGCGCGTCGCCGAGGATTTTCGTGACGGCGCATGGCGTCGGGGCGCCAGCAGTCGCGATGCATGCGTCGACCGAGTGGTTTCCACGCCTGGTCTGAGCAAGGTTTCGCATATTGCTCGGGGACATCGCCCCTGGCGCAGGCCAGCCCGTGACGCCCCGGCGCCCCGAGTCTGGCGATGGCCAGGCGTCGGGCGTTGTCGAGGCGCTACGCGCCCAGCTGGCGCGGTTGCCTTCCGCATGTGCGACGACGGGTGCCAGTTCCATGTCAGCTGGGTGGCCCTGCATTAGTTGTGGGCCCAACGCCCCGCCGCGCCCCTGGCCCCCATTGCGGCGCTCTCGGGAGGGGGCCTCAGGGGGCTGAGTGGGGGCCCTTGGGCGGCGACTGGAGAAGGGGGAGGTCGCGGGGCCAGTTCGGCTGCCCGGCCTCCCTTCGACGGATCGGATCCGTCTCGCCAGCCCTCGGGCCCTGCGCCTAGGCCCCCCCCTGGATCCCTCGGCCCGCGCGGGAAATCCCGCGTCTCCGCGGCCGCCCATGCGCAGTCGATGTGATATCGGTGGTCCGCTTGAAGGCGATGAGACGCCGGCGGCGCCACTGCCCCACCGCGATTGTCATTTGGCAGCTGCCATTTTGGAGAAGTTCCGCTGTGACATAGCGGCGGACGTTTGCAGGGCTGAGCTTCGCGAAGAAAGATGACCCCCGACGCTGGCAGGACCGGTGTGGCACGGCATCTTCCATCGGCGCTAGGAGCTTCCACCGCGCTGCGAGAGCCCCTGGCGCCCCGCGCCCCGCAGTCGTTCAAGCCGCCGGCGGCCTCTCGGCCCGCCCGCGCGACATTGTCGATGCGGAGACGCGCGCGGGAGAGAATTTGTAGCGCGCCGGCTAGTTTCCCAAACGGGCGTGGACGCCTGACAGGTCTGCGATGCCCCGAGCTCGCGTTGCAATCATTCGTGATGCGGCCAACATCTCTCCTCGTGCGACGACTGTAAGTTTTGATCGAGTTCGCCTTCGCCGTGTCGGTTTGCTTTCTTATGCTGGACTGGAGGCAATGGTTGCGCTGTTTGAGGCGCGCGACAGGATCGGCCTACGTCCGCGGCCGCTGCGCTTCATCGCTATGCCCATGCTTGCGAAGCCAGGTGCGGGACATTGGCTCATCATATTGTACTCAGGTTTATATCGTGTTCGGCAGCGCTTCCGCAGGCGCGACCTTGCCGAACTTCACAGGCACCTCCGTCGTCCATACTGGGGTGCTGTGGCTGGTCGCAGCTCGCTTGACCTGTCATGGCTGCAGGCAGCTCGAAGTGAGGCTGAGGTCAGTCTGCAAAGATCATGTCTGTTGTTGCTGATGTGTTACAGTAAATTCTATGAAGGCATCCCCTTGCAAGTGCTACGCGGTCGGCTTCTGGCGCGCGGCGTGCCAATGCCGATTCTCAGATTGCTGTTCAACACGTGGCACCCGCCTCGGATTATTCGAGTGGAACTGCATCGCAGTGATAGTCTTGTTCGCCACCTTTGGGCTCCCAGCAGATTGTGTTTTGCTGATGTTGCAGGTTGTGCTTTCGCAGTGACTGAGTATGACCAGTTTGTTCACCGCAGCCCGCCCTTGGATTTCATGAGCTACATTGGCGACGCTGGAGCCCATGTCAGCGGCAAGGATCGCGATGTTGTCGTCGGAGTTGCGGTCCGTGCAGGCACTCAGTCTGAGGCGGTGCCGAAGCGGCTCCAGGCGACACTGAGTGACAAGGTTGTTGTCGCGGCGAGTGATATTGCCTTGGTCCAGGAGGTTACTACCGAGATTGGTCTGGCTAAAGAGAAGGCTAAGCCAGCTGTGCCATACCCTAGCACCGACTTTGCCTGTGGTCGGCGACCCGCGCATGGCCGCGCAGCTGGCAAGCGCAATGCGCGCTTGCGTAAGGCTTCGCAGAGATTGGCCAAGGCGGGAAACTGCAGTCAATGAGGCGAGTTGGAGTTGGTGACCGACTGGGGCGAGTACACACTACGGCCCACTACGTCGTCGAGGTCAACGGCGTAAACGACCAGGAGCCGCTTGCCATCCGTCGCCAGGCCATATCGTACCTGGCACCTGCGACGCGAGGCGCGAGCCTCCGCACCAAGCTTGCCATGAACGGTGAGCCAGCCATGCGCAAGGCGACGGCTCCTGCGCTCCAGTTGTCAAACATGACATGACAGGCAGTTGAATTTCCGCCAGATGCCCTGCATTACCGAATCCGAGCGGTTGCGGGATCTTTTTTGGTTTCTTTTCTCCCCCCCTCAGGATGTTCCAGATGTTTCTGGGGCCCGCGCTCGGGGGCCGATTTCCAGGGCTCCGCTGTGCCATGCCCGTGCGAGGTGGATGCCGACCTCAATCATTGCGCGGGCCAGCCAGGATGGCAGCACTACCCGGCTCACCCAGTGCCCCACCGCTATGCGAGGTAGGATGTTCAGCGCTTCGTTCCAGAATGCCCATGAGAAGGCCCTGGGGGAGTGGTGGGGGGTGGCCGATGGGGCGAGGGCGAACCTGGAGGTTGTGAAGGCTACTCGAAAAAGCACGTCTGCCAATTATTCGAAACATCAGAAATAGTTAGTGCGTGCTGCCGTGTGTGATTGCCTGTGGACTGAACACCTTGCCCATGCGAACAGCTACTGCGCGGCGAGAGCTTGCGTCGGTGAGCGCGATGGGCCCGACGCGGTTCGCCGCCTTTTCTTGTTGTACCCTTCTCGCCACCATCCAGGCTCGCTCCGAGGCGGAAGCGCCGCCCACTTTCCTGGGCGAGGCGAGGGGGGGCCCAGCGAGCTTGATCCACAGCGAAGGTGTCGTTTCGGTGCTCCCAGGAGATACCCCCCCCACGTTTGAGGCCCCCATTGTTGAGGCCCTGGGCGGTCTAGGGGAGGCCCGCCCAGACTTTGGGTCCGAGCAGGTGGTGCAGTTTGGCGGCGATGCTGAGAGATTGCACTTGGCGGTGGATGGCAGCAGCACGATGCCGATTTTGTGCTGTTTTCGGGGAGCTGCTTGCGCCGTCCTTCTTCTTGACCACCGGACCGAAGCTACCTTTTCGGTTGCGCGTGGCGCAGTGCCTGGAAGCTTTTCGCAGACCCCAGCCATGGCTGAGAATTTATCATTGGCCGTGGCCTGCCGGATCGCGGATAGGACGTCACATGTGCATGCAGAGTGTAAAGCAGCGGTTCGCCAATCCCTCCTGCCCGAACACGAACAGGTTCGTGCAAATAACGTTTTTGCAGGGGTGTCGGCGTTCTCCAGCTCCCTTGAGGGACATGGCTGTGCTGAATCGGTTCAGCATGTGAGGGCCCATCGAAGCGGGGACGCGATAGATTCCTTACCGCTTGTGGAGCGGGGTCCAGCGAAAGGTAATCGCGCGGCCGACCTGCACGCTGAACAGGCTCTGCTGATTCACCCCAAGTTGGCCCAGACACGGCCAGCAGGTTAGAGGATGAGGTGAAGAAAAGTTCCCTGTTTGTCAAGCTTGCATGTTTCCCATCTCTGCTAGCGCACCGTCTGGTGCAAGGCTTCTGACTGACTTGCAGCATGCGTGTTCCTTGTCTTACACTCCAGAGCCAAGCGAGCGAGACCCTTTGCCCGCCACAGGTCAGTCAACGTCTCCCGTGGCTGGCATGGGTGGCAGATGGGACCGTTCGGCGTGCAGTGTAAGCATTGTTTGGTTGTTGCCTACGACGGAGAGCGTCAGAAGGCGCTGGGATGCTCTGGGGCCCCTGAATTCGTTCGTCAGGTCCGCCGTTCCCTGGGGCACCTGATTGTAGGTGTGGCCTCCCGCGAGATCCACCCCAGAGCTCCTAAGGCCTCCAAGTCAAAGGCCCCGAGGCTTCAGTTTTTGTGTGTCAAGTGTGGTTGCTGGGCCCAATGGTGTTCTCGAAATCCTGACACAGTCTGCAAGCAAACTTTGAGAGAAAAGGCCGCGAGGTGCTAGCCAAGTACCAGCTCGGCCTTGGCCCCAGTAGTCGCGAGCGACAGTTCACAGATAGAGCCTCTGCGGTATCAGCGTTGCCTGTGCTACCTAACCGCGGTGTAAGACTCTTGCTCGTACGTTTGTCAGGTCTGCCCTGTCTGGCGCTCTTGTTGCCCCCGGTTATGAGAGGCGATTGGCTGCCCTCGCGGAGCGAGTGGGGGGCAAGGAGGCGTTCAGAGCAGAGCAACAGCAAGTCGTGGCACCCTGTCGCGGGCCCTGGTCAGGGTGCGGGGAGTTTTGTCCTCCAGGGTAACACATCCCTCTCTGAGGGGTGCCACTTACCTCCCAGTTTGGGCTGTCTTGACCTACCCTAACCTTCTCCACATCATCCTCATTCTCATACTCATACTCGTCCTTGTTTGGCTCCTAAGATCAATGGCATCCGTAATGGCACCGCTCGCGTTTGCCCCATCTCCCGGCGCGTCGAGGAGAGTGTAACCGGCAAGGTCGCTCTTCCAGTGTCCCTGGAGGCTTGGGGAGCCCGGTAGGGAGGGGGGAGGCGATGATGTGGGGCGGATGATGAGGTGGATGAGGAGGAACAGGAACAGGAAGGGGGGGGGAGGGGGAGGATGCTTCGGACTTTTAGTGTCTCTTGAGTTGCTTAAGGCGCTTCCCGTTTCTTCTTTTTGTTGGGATCTTATTAACTAGCTTTCTGGTTGTGGTAGCTCGAGCCCGCTGGCCACCCAGATCGTTTGCGCATTGGCGAGACATTGGAATAAAGCTCACATTGTGGAGTGTTTGAGGTGCGGCACGGGGAGGCGTATGACAGGGAGCTGCGGTGATGGGAGCTGAGCCAGGGTGCAGGCTGCGTTCCTTTCTGGTGCCTCCCGCCCGCGAGATGCCACAGGCGTCGCGTTCATTACACCCGACCTCCGACGGCATGGCGACGCCGGACATGCCACCTTGCAGGACATGTCCAAGGCCGTGCGGCTGGAATTGGGCAAGGGAGGCGGGGGTGGGTGAAGGTGCGCTGACAAATTTGTGGGCAGCTGCGGGGGAATGAACAGCAGGCAGGGGAGGAGGATGGGGACTCATTCGGTCGTCCTGGGCGCAGCAGGAGAGGCCTTGTGAACGCAGGATGGATATTGCTGGTATCCAGGAGCAGGAAGGGAGGGGAGGGGAGCGTTAACCTGGAGCGACCAGACATACAAGAGGGACAGTCCACCTGCTTATTTTCCACCTTCGCCGATGGTTCTAGTACATACATCAAGAGTGCGGAGTCGTCGTTCCTTTGGTGCAACTTGTTGAAACTAGAATGGTCTCGGGGGCCATTCGTCCTGTGAGTTTTCCAAGCTTTCGTATTGCCTGCGCACCATTTGGTTGAACAAGGCAGAGCTAGACAGACTAGACGCATTTTAAGCACGATGCTTGCAGAACTTGTCTGGCGTCCAGCACTCCTGTATCAGCCGCGTGAGCAACGCCTCCGCGCGGCATGCACGCAGAAAGCATTGTTTAAGTTCTCTTCTGTCCTACCGCCAACTCGTACTCGTAGGTGGAGTCTTTCAGCTCCCAGACATCAGCGCTCTGGCGAAGTATATATGTGAACCCGGGAGCGCCGACTTAAAGACGCCCTACGCAGAGTTGGCAGCAAGGCGGGCTGGCATCGCGCATCCGCGCAAAACGCTTGAGCTTGCAGTCGTTATACATGTCAGTCCTTCCTCCCCCTCCCCCTTTTCCTCCTCCTCCTCCTCTTCCTCCTCCTCCTCAGCATCGTCTTGGCGTCATTGTTATGTACAGTGTTTTCTGCGTGGAGCGTTTCACCAGAAGGTAGCCACGCCCTGTCTAACCTTTCTTGCCAACGCATCCTGGACGTGCATGGCGCGCTTGCTTGCTTGACTCGGGGCAACCATGAACGATGGATCGTTGCCCCCCAGGGCGTGAGTCCAGTTATACGTGTCATTTCTCGGTGGGTCGTTCAGTCATAAACACCTTCTCGACCCAACCAGTAGGCTCCATTATGCTCGATTAGCTTCCTTTCCCTTTTTTCCTCATGAACTCCCTCATTCGATTCAGTTTGGCCTCATTGGCTTTCTGTTGGCCTCGATATACTTCCGCGTTAGTTTCCTGTAGTTTAAAGTAGCTTACTCGATGGCTGTATGTAGCTTCAAACGTTTGCTTCGTGGGCTCAGGGAACTAGATGGACAGACTATTGAACATACAGGGGTGGGGGGAACATGGTGGGAGGCAAGATGGCAGGGATGAGGAGTGAAGAATGGGCGGAGGGACGAGGAGGGGCGGACATGGGACAATAATTCGGATGAGGCGGATTATGAACACTGATGTTGGGTAAAAATTGCGCGGCCCCACTGACGTGCGAGGCAACGCAGCTAATTGAAGGTAATTGTGGTTGATTGGCAGGCACCTTGATTCAAGAGGCTTACGCCATTCCGCCAGCCCCCAGAAGAGGGATAAAGTCAACTGGTGAGGCCGTTTGAGGCCTCTTGAGATCCTCTGGGTGGCTCTTTTTGGGGTCTCAAGGGCCTCTTCGGGCCTCTTGGGAGTTTCTTGGGCGCCTGCTGGCGGTCTCGAGGGTCCTCTTGGAGCGAAGGGCTCAGAACATTAGTTCGCGTTACCTTTATTGGGTTCCTCTTGGAGCCTTGTTTGGGCTCTCTTGCGCCATTTTGGGTGCCTCGTGGCCCGTCTTGGGGCCCTCATCGGCCGTCTTGGGGCCATCTCGATCGTCTTGGAGCCCTTCTTGGGGCGTCTTTGCGGTCTCTTGGCTCTTGGGCAGTCTTGAAGCTATCTTGGTCATCGTCGAGGACTCCTGTGCGTGTTGGGACTCTGCTTGAGCAAGCGTAGCTCGATTATGAGGCATCTTGGGGGCCACAGAGTGTGTATATAGAGGCTCATGGGGCCCCGGGGGAGCGTTGATGAGCTCGGAGACCCTTTCGGCCCACCTCCCCGGCTTCCCCCCAGGAATCCCCCCGCGCCCACCTCCTTCGAACCGGATTTCAGACCCCAGGGGAGGGGACAAGGGGGAGAGGGACAGCAAATCATCTCACACGCTTTTACACACCTGGCAAGCGGGGGTCGGCGGATTGAAACTCCCTGACGAAAGCTTTGGACGAGCGATCGTAGCTCCAGTAGCGTGGAGCCACAGTTTTGTAAGGTGATCGTGGCCTCGGATGCGTTAATAGATTGTTCCCAACCATCCTGTCGTGTTGGGTCCTCGTTGTGAAGAGACGGCGCCCCGCGTTCTCCTCCTCCCGCCTCGGTCCTCCCCCTCCTCCCTCCTCCCTCCCTTGCCTCTGCCCTCCGCATGTGTCTGTTTCTGCGCACCCATCACACGTTTCGTGGCCCCACAGGGAGCTCCACCGAAGGCTCCAGTGGCAGGGCTCGCATGGCGCCACCGCCCCATTTCGGCGCACTCCTCAAACGTTTTGTGGCCCCATAGTGAGCTCCACCGAAGGCCCCAGCGGCAAAGTTCGTATGGCGGCCCCGCCCCATTTTGGTGCACCCCTCACACGTTTCGCGGCCCCATAGGCAGTTCCACCGGAGGCTCCATAGCAAAGTTCGCATGGCGGCCCCGCTCCATTTCGAAACACCCCTCATAAGTTTCGTGGCCTTATAAGGAGCTCCACCAAAGGCCCCAGTGGCAAAGTTCACATGGCGGCACCGCCTCGTTTCGGCGCACCCCTCACACGTTTCGTGGCCCCATGGGGAGCTCCACCGAAGGCCCCAGTGGCAGGGTTTGCATGGCGCCACCACACAGATTTCGGAGCACCCCCCACACGTTTCGTGGCACCACAGGGAGCTCCACCGAAGGCCCCAGTGGCAGGGCTCGCATGGCGCCACCGCCCCGTTTCGGCGCAACCCTTACACGTTTCCTGAATCCACAGGGAGCTCCACCGAAGGCCCCAGTGGCAGGGCTCGCATGGCGCCGCCGTGCAAATTTCGGCGCACCCCTCACCACAGGGAGCTCCACCGAAGGCCCCAGTGGCAGGGCTCGCATGGCGCCACCGCTCCATTTTGGCCCACCCCTCACACGTTTCGTGGCCCCACAGGGAGCTCCACCGAAGGCCCCAGCGGCAGGGCTCGCATGGCGCCACCGCTCCATTTCAGCACACCCCTCACACGTTCACCGAAGGCCCCAGTGGCAGGGTTCGCATGTCGCCACCAAGCTCATTTCGGCACACCCCTCACGCGTTTCTTGGCCCCACAGGGAGCTCCACCGGAGGCGGGGCTCACAATTGCGGTATTCACAATTGCATATGGTTGGGTCTGGCAGGATAAAGTTTATAGGGATCGTAGCCTCAGGAGCATGAGGCATTTTTTACAATGGATCGTGGCCTCCGTAGCGATGACCACTCGTTGCTGTTTTTCGTGAGGGTCATGGCCTCAGGAGTGCGGACCCATCGTGTTTCTTAAGTGAGATCGTGTCTTGCGGAGCGCAGATCCATCGTTTGTGAACGAGAGGTCGTGCCCTCTTTACGAGCGATCGTGGCCTCGGGAGCGCGTTCTTCATAACTCTATTGATTTCTTTGCGAATGGGGTACCCGGCTCAACCAATCATCGCAGACGATTGTTCTCCCCAGCGCCCGACTTTTCGAAGAACAATGAAGCCGCTCAGAAAAGGAGGGGAACCCTGGGATACCTCCAAGGGGGCTATTCGGACGCACCGCTATCGAGGATGGACGCCCCCATCGTATTTCCCAGGGTTGGGGTCCAAACATTCTGGTCCATTCGAAAACCCCCCAAGGCCTGGGATAGGGGTCGACGTATCCCATGTTAAATCAGCGTGCTCTGAGTAGCAGGTTCAACTGTGTGTTGTCTACCACATTCCACCAGAAAGTGATTGACTTTGGCAGGGCAGCCTGCCCATCATTCACATCCCCTCGAAGTATTTCCAGGTTTGGGGATCGCCAGGTCCGACGAGCGAGCAGAGTAGGCGGATCCGTCTTTTTTTGAGCAGGCAACAAGTGGTTATGCATTCGTCCCGTTTGTGTTCATATGTATGTTTGTGGGTGTGTGCGCTTTGGGGTGTGTGCGCGTGACGCGTGTGTTTCCGACGATTTGCGTAGTACTGTTGCAGCGTGTGGAATTGCACCGCCTTGTTCTGCCTCTGGAGGGCTGACGGACATGCCGGATTGACAATGTCTTGTATGTTCCGGGACAGCAGGGTGGGTTTACATATTCGTTGATTTGCGAGTGTTCTTTCACCTCCCCGAGGTCGGCGGACTGCATGCGGACTTCGTCCAGCGCTTCTGCTCAGTGGAAGGTCGGCCTTTGCAGAGGGGCCCAGGTCATAATGAATGTGTTTGTTTTATGCGTGAATGTGCTCCTGGGGGCCCTCCGCCCTTCCTTCGCGCAAGCTTGGGCGCCGCTCGGAGACAAGTGGGAGGCGGAGGGAGGCGCAGGCGAAGAGTCGGAGTGTGTCTTGCCATCGTTGAAGCGAGTCCAGAAGCCTGCGGCAAGTTGCGCCACCAGGCCAGCCCAGCACCTTTCGAGGCAGCGGTTCGGGGGGCGCATCGGAGACCGTAACGTGTGACCTGTCGTGTCCCCGAGGCTCAGGAAAGCCGCAATGTGGGGAAATGTCTGCCGCGTTCGAAGAGTTCTCTTGCATCTTCGTCGTCTTCCTCATTTTCTGCCGTCTTTTCTTAGGCTTCTGTCGGGCAGTCTTCAGGGTCCCTTGGGCCACTTGCCCCGTCTTGGTGCCCGCTTCGGCCGCCTTGAGGCTCTCTTGGGCTGTCTCAGGGCCCTCTTGGCCGTCTAGAGAGTCTTTTGCGGCCGTCGTGTGGCCGTCATCGGGTCATCTTGGACTGTCGAGTGGCTCTCCACGGGGCTCTTTTGGGCCAGTTTGGGGCTCTTTGAGAGCCGTCCTACCTCGGCCCTAGAGGGTCCCTCGTGGGCTACCTTGAATGCGTTTTGGAGGGCTATTGGGCCACGTTGGGGCCCTCTCGGGCCGTCAGAGGCCATCATGGTCGCCGCTAGTGTAGTGCGAAGTTGAAAGGATCTTGAGAAGGTGGCGACTTCCAACTCTTTCAAACGCCGACGGGGAAGATGTGAGTTGCGTGTCTTCTGGCTCTAGTTGGGGTCCTCTGGTGGCCCTCTTGGGCCGTCTTGAGGGCCTCTTGGGCCGTCTTGAGCCCATCTTGACTTCTTGGGCCGCCTTTGGGCCATCTTGATCCGTCTTGGACGCATCTTCGGCCATCTCGATGGCCTTGGTTGCCTGCCTCGGCAGTCCTGGAAGCCCGGGACTTCGGATCCATTGTTTTCACCAGGGATCGTGACCTCGAGAGCGCGGTTCCATGTTTTTAGTTTGATCGCTTCGCTCACTCCGCCGGCCCGTATTGTGTCATCGCAGGTTTTTGCCTGCGCGTTCGTGGCCTCATGGAGGCCGTTTGTGGGCGTCTTGGAGCATATTTTTGGGCTTCTTGGCGGTATTAATGGGGTGTCACGGGGGCCTCTTGGGGGTCTCTTGGGGGTCTCTTGGGGCCTCTCGGGGGCCTCTTGGGGGCTTCCAGGGGGCCTCTTTGGGGCCTCTCGGGGGCCTCTTGGGGGCCTCTTGAGGGCCTCTTGGGGGGGGATGACGGGGCGAAGCTTGCCCGACACCGACCCGAACCATGCCCGAGGCCGACCCGAAACGCGCCCGAATCTCACCCGGCACGCGCCCGAACTTTCTCCGAAATTCACCCGGAACTCACTTGAAACCTACCCGGGGCGCGCCCGACGCGCGCCCGAAACGCATCCGACATTTGCCCGGAACTTGCCCGCCTAGTCATTGAGGGCGGGCCGTGGGGTCAGAAGCTTCGCGCCACCTGCGCACTGCGTGGTCGCCATCCTTACTATCCCTCTCACATCGCGCCCTTCGTGCACGTTCCACCTTCCCTTGTTCGCCGTCCGCCTGCCCTGGGCTTGCGTGGTGGTCACGTGTTCGGTATGTCTTTATTTTCGATATATATATATATATACATGCATCGCTGTATCTTCCTTCTCTTCAGCTCTCCCTCTCTCTCTACACATCTATGTATATGTATATATGTATATATATATATATATATATATATATATATATCGCTCCTCCTCTCTCCGCGTCTCTGTTTTCCATGCGCATGCGTGCGTGCGTTTAGTTGGCTATGCGCACTATAAGCGTACATAGAGAGACATTGCCGCTCGTTGTGCGCCCCCAAGCGGTGCTCGCACTCCAGGGGCTCAAGTGCCGTTGCGAGGTGTTTGATGTGCGTTGCTTGTTTGGCCGTGGAATTGCGCGGAGGGCGGGCCGCGCCTTATCGGGTGCTGGGCGCGCGCGCGCGCGCTGCCAATTGTAATATAGAGCAGCCAGGCATCATTCGGATAACGCGTGGCTTGGCAATTTGTCGGGCGCCCTCCTTGGGGGGCGCGGGGCCAGCGGGGCAGGGGGGCGCGCGGGGGCGGAGATAGCCGCGGGGGGCGACGCGGGGCCGCGTCCTCGAAGCTGGGCCCCGCTGACCCGCGGGTCGGGATACACGCGGGAGGCGAAGCATTTGCGGCCGACGCGGGGCCCGCGGGGCGGGGGGTTATGAGAAGCTGCGCGAGGCCTGTCATGGCAAACACATTACAGACTTCAATCGTTGGGGGTCCACGCGCTGGCATCATTGGATTGCCGTTCCCTCTCGATCCCCGCTTTCTCTTGCTTGCATTGGTTCGCCGCCGCCACCCGCTTTTCTCGGGTCCATTTCGGGTGAGTTTCGGGTGAGCTACGGGCGCGCGTTGGGTGGGTTTCGTTCGGATCGGTTGTGCGACTCCGCTCGTGGGTTGGGGGGGCGCTCGAGTCGGGCGCGACCTTGCGTCGGCCGCCCGGGTGAACCTGAGCGAGCTCCCGCCCGAACGTCCCCATGGTCATCGCAGGGCCGAATTGTCAGCCCTTTGCCCGCAGCGGTGATCAGACCCGCTGGGCGGACTCCCGCGCGAATGTGTTTAGCAACACTTTGGATTGCATTGAGGATCAGGCGAAAAGAGGGCTCTGTGCTAGAAATGCTTATGATTGAAAATGTTCCGGGCATGGCAGATGCGAGAGATAGGGGCCCCCTTCCGGTCAAATTTGTGGAGAACTGGCTCATCGGTATGCTCGGGCCAGGGTGGGGGGTTTGGATTTGGAAGGTTCAGCGCAGTTGCATTAGAATATTATCGGAATCGCTGGCGGCTATGCATTTGCGGTGGGAAGGTCGATCGTCTTTCGATGCCTCAGCCAGATCTGCAGCCGGGTCAATTCAAAGTGAAAGGGGTCGCGCTCGAGGCAGCGCTCGACCCGGGCCCTCCGCGGGGGGGCGCCAGGCTGACTAAGAAGCAGCAGGCGAATCTCGCATGCTACAGGAAGATTCATGCTAAAGACCCCCAGGGAACAATCGTAGTGTGCGACTTGGGCGGGCCTCATTTTAAACAGAAGACCCGCCTGAAGAGTGGGGGTGGCGGTCTCGCCCCCGCCCTCGCAACTCGCAGCCGCCATCTTTTCGTGTTCGAGGTTGGCCATGATAACGAAGTCCATCGCTGTGTTTCACCCGTGGAGCGTTTCATGTCGCAGGGGTTCTCTCCCGAGGTGGTCGATGAGATCCCTGCGAACGAAGAGCTTGCAGCCGCTGGCAACTCGATGGCGTTGGTGCTATCGGCATCGCGATAGCGTGCTGCCTAATAGATCGCATTGACGTTCCACCCCCATCAGTTGTAGAACTTGGCTGAAAAGTGGAGTGGGTGAGCGTTTCGGAGATTTCAACTGCCAGTTTTCTGTTCTGTGTAGCGGCTCAGCTGCTAGAGCAAAGTGGGTTGGTGATGCTCTGATGGGCGTGTTCAGGCCTGGATAATATATTTTGAAGGGATGGGGGGCGAGGGGCGAGAGAACGAGGTGGGCGCGAGGAGGAGGGCAGGAGGAGGGGGGGAGGAGGATGCAACTCAGGGACCGCCCATGTGCACGCGTTAATTTGAAGCGCATGCCGCTGGGGCATGACCGAGCGCAGCTGGAGATGTCTCTCGAGCCCATCGGGGAGGCTCGAGAGGGAATGGCGAGAGATGCTTGGGGGTGGTGGAGTGGGCTAGAGGGAATCGAGCGATGGGGAACGCGGGGGAGGGGGGGGGGGCGCGGGCGATTCTTTGCGCGCGCCGAACTGTGTGCAATGGAGCGCAAGGCAAATGCATTGCGCGCGAGTTTTCGGCTGCTCTCGTGGCCAGCGCCCGCGCTGCACCTTTCTGCCCGCGGTTGGAAAGCTCGGTTTCGGGCGGCCCCGACGCGCTGCGAGGGCGGCGGCAGGAGGCGAGTGCAGGCGCTGCGTCGGTGGATCGAGTTGTCGAGCAGTCGAATGCGCGTAGGTTGATAAGGATTATGCGTGGATGCCTGCGCCATCTGATGATGATCGAGGCTTCGCCGACCCGACGCAATCGCCGCGCCCGGGGGTTATTGGCCAGTTCTCGGACCCAGGGCGCCCGCTGAAGACATCTTCGACACATTCATGTACGAACAACTGGTAACAGTCATGTAAGCATCTTGTATTTTATGAATGAAGAAGGGCACCGACATGGCTTGCCTTCTCGGTGTCGTTCCTCTTCCTCAGCCCCCCCCCCTCCCCCTTCCACGAGGTCCTCCTCCTCTTCCTCCTCCTCTCCCCCATCCTTCTCCTCCCCCCTCCTCCCCCCATCCTCCTCCTCCTCCTCCCCCTTTTTTTTTCCGCTCCTTTTTTGTTTCCCATGTCCCGCGCGTGGTCATTTTGGCATTCGGTGCGCTTGGCTCGAAATGATATGGCTCGAAGCGCGCGCCCGCGCGAACGCAGCAGAAGCGCTAGTCGCGCGTGCGCGCGAGTGCGCTTGCGACGCGCGCGCCTTGCGCTGCGGAGGTCACCTGCGCGCTTGCGATCGCGCGCATAACGTGGCGCGCCAAAAAAAGTGCGAGAAAACACGCAGCACGCGCGGGAGATTTTCAGAAACAAAAATCAGCCATCACAAAATGTTGAAATAAGTTATAAATCGAGAATGTGTCAAATTTCCGGTTTTTGATATTGAAGAAACAACGCCCGCGGGGGAGCCGGCAGCCCCGCGGCGCGGCGTCGCGAGCGGCGGCGGCAGAGCGACGGCGCGCCACATTAGCGATTTCCGCGCGGCTTCGAAAGCTCCCTCGACTCCGCCAGATGTGATCCAGCACTGCCACGTGGGCGTGAATGGCGGCATAGGCATGGCTGCGGCGGCGCGAGCAAGAACATGGACTGCGGCGCGTGCGCGAGCAGGAACGATGGCGGCGGCGCGATCGTGAGCGGC